TTGTTATAATTTTTAAACACGGTGTTATTAATAAATTTTTTTGCATTCATAACTTAATCCCTAAGTATTTGTTCTCTTTTGAATAATGTGATATTATCTTTTTAAATTAGTTTTATATATACAAATTAGTAAGAAAAAAATTATTAATAACACCGTGTTTAAAAATTATAACAAATTTTTTACAAAAAAGCAACGATAAGAATAATTTATTTTATTAAATATACCATGAAAAAGCTAAGCACAAAAAATATTATCAAAAATAAAAAATAGTAACTACATCATTTTTGGGAATGGAGATAGTATAAACAAAGTAGAATTATTTTTATGAAAAAATTAAATAAATTAAATTTTAATAATTAAATACATAAAAATGTAAAAAAATGACAAAGATAATGACCTGACAAAGATAATGACTTGCCACTGTTTAGAACATTGGCAATGGCAAGTCAAAATCTGGAATGCCACACGGTGACATGGAGCATTCCAACCAATAAAAAAGAGTCTAGTCAGCATGTGGCCAGTGAGTGGAGTGGCATGTCATGCAGTGGCAAGTAATTGTTGTTTACACTTTTGTGACATATTTTAATTATAACATTTTTTTACTTATCTTTTTTTCATAAAAATATATGCACTCCATTTTTTTTTAAAAAAAAACCTTTTTTCTATAAATAAAAATAAAAAAATATAAAAAGAATAAAAAAATAAGAAAACAAAAGAGAAGAATGACTTGCCCAAGCCATGCCTCGCATGGAAGAATACCCAAGCCACGCATGGCAAAATGAGGATATTGGTGATGTGGCATGGCGTGGCAAGCATTTGCCTCGCCACTGCCAATGCTCTAATGCATGTCACTCCACCTTCTTGCCACACGATGACTGGACTATTTTTTATTAGTTGAAATATTTCACGTCAACATGTGGCATTTCATTTTCTGTATTGTCATTGCCTGTGCTCAAATAGTAAATGGAAAACATGACGATAAAAAGACTCTCAGAACAAGATAGCCCTTATATAATATATGTGTGTATGTGTGTGTGTGTGTAGGGATTAACTACGGTGAGATGACACCTTATGGTAAGATGACATGTTTCAGTCACATGACATTGAAGCTTACCACTGATCACTGCAAAGCTTATCACTGATCACTACAAAACTCAGCACTATCCACTACAAAGCTCACCATGATTTTCCAACACTTTACTTTTTTTTCAAAATTTGATGGTTAAATGTTTACAAAGCCCAACAACAAAGCTCACTGACTCTCATTACAAAGCTCACCGAATATGTGCACAAAGCTTACCACACTTTGAAGTTTAAAAAGATTTCAAAAAAAAACAAAGAGCGGTAGTGCTGACTTCCAACCGCTGCAGACTACCGCCGTGGATGGCGGTTGATTGGTGGTGTAATTTTATTAGCTTTTTTTTAAAAAAAAGTGGTGAGCTTTGTATTGTCAGTCGATGAGCTTTGACTGACAGTTGATGAGCTTTATACTTTTACTGCTCATGACCAATGGCCACTCAAATCTCTTGAACCAAACATAGTGTTAATGTAGTAGAATGGAAATTACTGGTTGAAAGGAAACATGATTATGAGGGTGTACTCCCGCTAGCCCACAAAAGATATCCTACTTTTCCCTTTTCTCTTTCAAAACATTTTTCTTATTTTCTCTTATTTTTAGAAAGGAATATTTGGAGTTTCTCACTTTCCTTTTTCCACATGTTCCAAAATACTTCTTTTCATATTCTCTTTTCTTTTTTTAAAAAAATGTGGTCTAAATTATACTCCCTCCGTCCCGCAAAAATGTTCCCCTTTCTTTTTTTCATCCGTCCCAAAAAACACTTCTTTTTTCCTTTTAAAATCACTTTTATCCATACTAACTCTTAACCTATCTATCACATCATACTTTTTCTCTATTAATCTATCTATCCCATCCTACTTAATCCATCACATCAAAGGGCATTTTTGGAAAGTCAATACTAAAATAAACTCCACTTAAATCCTCAAAAAGTCAAAACGGGAACTTCTTTTGCGGGACGGAGGGAGTATCTTTTAAGCTTCAATGCTTAATGAATCAAAACCCCTATTACAGTGAAATCATTGTCCCTCTAAACTTTGAAGATTTTTCTTTAAAAAAACATTTGCAAGTAGTGCTTTTAGAACATGACAATCATGAAAAGTAGTGGCATTTGTTTTAGCAGTAGACAACTCAATGTAAGATGTGAAGTATAGGCATGAAAATTGAGTGCTCCGGTGCCCCGTTCGTAAAATTGATGATTCCTACCCCCACGGTTTTTTGGGACGGAGGGAGTAGTACTTTTAGAACATGACAATCATGAAAAGTAGTGGCATTTGTTTTAGCAGTAGACAACTCAATGTAAGATGTAAAGTATAGGCATGAAGATCATTAAGTGCATCCCAAGTTCTTTTACACACTTTTGATACACAAATTAGGCTGTGTTTGGGGGATCCAGAATAATTTTGAAAATAATGAAGCTATATAATTTTGAATTCAATGAAGCTAAAAGCTATCATTAGATAACATTTTCATAACGTTAAAGCTAATTCTTTAACATTATAAAAAATGTCTCAAACTTTTTAAAGCAACAATAAAACCCTAATTTTTTCTTTCTTTTTCTGATTTTATGTTTTCCCCTGTAGTTTTTCCCTTATTTCTCAATAAATTTGTTTGTTTCCAAATCTATCTACGCACAAAGAGTATGAATAAAAAATATTTAATACTTTTAAAATATAAGGAGTAGCTTTGTGTTCTACTATGTTTGATATATGTTTTTCGTTTGTTATTAACACATTTACTATTTCCGTCCCAGAAAAAAATATTGTTTTTTTAACGTCCAAACAAAAGAAATTTTACTTAATATACTTTATTTACAAGAAGTGAATATGTGACTTGAAAAACTTGTTTCTTTTCTAAACAAATTCTAACAACTCACTTTTTAGAGAGTAACTTCAAAAATAAACAAATTGAGATGTACAATAAGACTTATTAGCTTCTAAAGTGCTCCTACGCCCATTTCTAAATCAAAAGGAAAGCGTTGGTGTATAATTTGAGGCAATGTCCAATGAACAATTTCAATAAGTCTTAGTCTTTGAATAACATGATTCAGTTGACATGTTTCATTTGATCCTTGACAAATTCTTTTACTGGTATAAGACCAGACCAGATCAAAAACACCCTTAAATCCTCACAAAGTCAAAAAGGGAACTTTTTTACGGGACGGAGGGAATATCTTTTAAGCTTCAATGCTTAATGAATCAAAACCCCTATTACAGTAAAATCATTGTCCCTCTAAACTTTGAAGATTTTTCTTTAAAAAAACATTTGCAAGTAGTGCTTTTAGAACATGACAATCATGAAAAGTAGTGGCATTTGTTTTAGCAGTAGACAACTCAATGTAAGATGTGAAGTATAGGCATGAAAATTGAGTGCTCCGGTGCCCCGTTCGTAAAATTGACGATTCCTACCCCCACGGTAAACCCCCGCCCCGCCCCGAACAAACTCCCCCACCCCCTTCAATTGCACCCCACAAGTCGATTTTGACTTTGGAGTCAATTTTTGACTCCAAAGTCAAAATCGACTTGTGGGGTGCAATTGAAGGAGGTGGGGGGTTTGTTCGGGGCGGGGCGGGGCGGGGTGGGGGGTTTACCGGGGAGTTAGGGGGGTAGGAATCGTCAATTTTACGAACGGGGCACCAGAGCGCCCCCGGGTCATCCCATGACATTGGTTCTCAATGTCATGGGAACCAATGTGACAAAACTATGTTTATTTCTGTTCACCTGTCTTACTAACATATCCGCTCAAAAATAGGGTCTGGGAGGATGAGATGTATGTACATTTCTGCGAAGAACCCGACAAGTAGCTAAAGGTATCATGATTACCGGATATAAGAAGAAAAAAGAAGCAAAAGAGCAGGAAAACCACATGATGATTGTCCTAAATGAGGCAAAACCACATAAAAGAACGCATGATATGCTCTCCAATTCAAAAGCTTCAATTCATGCAGTAGTATTGATCATCGATTCAGAACCGAGATAATAAATGTACCAAAATCTTCCTACCTGTATGGGATAAGAGACAGCTTCGCAAAAATGCTCAATCTGTGAGTAAATATAGTTTCTCCAGGATACATGAGGAACAGAAAGGCCTAATATACAACAAAGTTTGCCAATGAAGACTCTTAGAATTTGGTTGCAAATGTCTCAGCTACCAAAAGGGGGAAAGCAATGGTTGCATCACAATGTACCTACACATAAGCCAAGAGAAAACAGTGGAATACAACAATTTAGTCCCCACAATTTGGAATCCCATGACATGAGTGAGTTGAAGTGCTGCCCTCTTTTATACTCCATCTGTTCTACAAAGATAGTGGGCTCACTGTTACATTTTTCGTCAAAAAGATAGTATGCCCACCATTCCTCCGTCCCAAAAAACCATGCACGTTTTGACTTTCACGTTGTTTAAAAGAAGTGTTGAAAAGTGAAAAGTTTATAGTTAGGATTTAATTAAATGAGATAGAAAATATGCGAGCTACATGCTCATTACTTTAAAAGGAAATAAAGTGGAAAGTGTTTTTAGGATGTCCAAAAAGGGAAAGTGGGTAAATGTTTTTTGGGTTAGAGGAAGTATCTTTGCATTACACTTGTTCTACGTGAACTATCTAAGCAATAAGTAATGAGACATCTTAACTAAATAAACTGTTCTTTCTTGACCCGTGCCAAAAATAACTACTCCCTCCATCTTGAAATTAAGTTCCAACTTTCATTTTCGGGCATACAGAAATAAAGTTCTCATTCCTTTTAAGGAAATAATTGTGGGTTCAAATTATTTCTCTCCTATGCATAAATCTCAACCACACACTTTTGTTTTTTTCCCATAAATTTCGTGAAAAAGCAAACGGGAACTTGATTTCGCGAGAGAGGAAGTGCAAGACTATCTTTGTAGGAATGAAAGGTTAACTTTTTTCCACAAAAAAATGCAGTCAAAAGAAAGTTTTAGAGTGACTTGTATTATTGGTAACCTTAACAGTTTTTGCACCACCACGGATTTTCCCCCAAGACACAGCTTCATCGGGACGAGCGCCAGAATCACTCCCATCGAACTCCTGGGCTGTGTTGATGTAGACAGCAAAGTCGGCGCCATTACGCATCATATTAGCATTGCAAATATGATGTTTAGGCATTCCTCCACCAAGGATAATCACTCCAGTCTTCCTAGGACCGGCATGAACTGCCTCGCCGTTCACTTCCCTGATATCTAAGAGCAATGACCCCAAAATTGTCTATTTTTGTTCTTATGTATAGAGATTAGTTTTCGGGCAATCATCAAAAAGATATATTACCTCCCACAATGTCAATGATTAAGCCGGGATTCCTATCTGGGTTACCAGGATCTTCCTTTTTGAAAGAGTGGAAGTATAACATGTCACCTAGAGAGCCATCAGTTAAACTAGGACAGAAGACAGGAATTCTGTTCTGGGGAAAAGAATGAAAACCAAAAATAACTACTCCGTATAATAAAAATGAAAGTGTTGGGAAATTTGCATATCCAATATTCAGATAAACCACATGAATTTGAAAAGCTAAACATTATTGATAACAGAATTACAAAAGTACAACTATTCGCATAATCTCATAATCTCATTTACAAGTCGAGCTGTGCAAAACAATACTGCAACAATTCATTGCTTTGTTCTAGCAAACGAGTTGAATATTACACTTCCCCAAAATTAAGCATCCACTATAAGTTGAGCATTTTGATATAGAACTGTAAATTTCTATTTCCATATTACTCGTATATTTTAAAAACATAAGTACAAAAGATAGATCTGAGAGGATGATTTTTGAAAAAGTACCTTGTATGCCCAGTATAAATATGAACTCTCATCATTAATTTCTTCCCCAAGGCGAGCAATAACTTTAGATGGTGTCCATAATACACCCTGCACAGACAAATAATAAGCTGATGTTTACGGAGTAATTGTTAAACATGTGAGGAGAGAGTAAATGAAGAAGAAAAATAAAAATTAGAGGAACACAAAGAGTTCACTTAGTCTCAAATCAATAGGCTCGGCATGTTTTTTTAGGGTGCAATAAGACAGTAAAAAGATCTTCGCAAGCATATAAAGGATGAAAAGAGGGCTTTCAATATAAAGCAATTAGATGCAAACTTATGATTAGAATGGTAAGAACTTTGCAAACATGCTATTTCTGTGAGGGTATGTTTGTTTGAGGACTGAGGCGAAGTCGGAAGGAAGTGAGGGGGGATAAGAGAAATGGGTAGGAAATACAAAATTTCCATTGTTTGGTTGGAGAGAAATTGAGAAGGAAATGAGATGGAAATGCGAGGGAAATGAAAATTTAGTTTATAAAATTCCTCCCACTTTTTGAGTGCAATAGGAGGGAAATCAATTTATCGGCCTCCCCTTTCTCTTTTCCTCTTTATATTTCCTCCTTTCCTATTCCCAGCTTTTCGATTTCTTTTCCTAAGTTAATGTATTGATTTTTTGTACAAAAAGATGTCAAGTACATGTACAAACATGTTACTGAGTAACTAATATATTGATGAACTTAATAATAAATCTAAAATAAATTAAAATATTGTAAACAATACTAACCACGTCCCCGTGTATTCGTCTAGTTTGAATTTTTTGAGTCAAACTGGACAAACTTTGATTATATTAGAAAAACAACTTTTCAATAATTGCATAATGATTTTATTCTATATGTATTACTGTATTTTTTAAAGTGTGATTGTAAATTAATTTCAATGAATACTTTTTTCTTCCCTAATTTCCTTCCAACCAAACAAGGGAAGTTACTTTCTTTTCAATTCCCTCCTTTCTACTTCCTTCCAACCAAAGAAACGAGTGGAAGTTGACCTTCCACTCCATTTCTTCTTTTCCGCTTCTTTCCTCTCCATTTCCTTCATCACTATTTCCTTCCTTTGTCAAACATAGTGTAAAAAAAGAGGAAAAAGAAATTAAATTAGCAGTGATGAACTTTTTATATTACAAAATGACTAAGCAAAAGACAGACTTTCCATCATGAAGGACCAGCTACTCTTGGCTTGGTTGGTATGAAAGAAAGTCCCAACTTCCCCATCAAGAGTTTGAAGTTGGTATTGAAGAAGTACAAAAATGAAAGGCTAAGACAACAACAGATGCTTAAGAACAACGCTTTTCATTGGATAGTGTTTGGGTTCACCACAAAATGCCATGAAAGAGTAATACCTGTTTGATTTGCTCCTCGTACATCTTGTCAAAAATTGGGATGACCCAGTCTTCAAATTTGCAATAGTTGTCGTTGGGAACCAACAAGTTACCAATACGGTTCAATCCCTTCGAACGTAGTACAGATCCGGGTAAAGAAAAATCACCCTTGTAAGTTGGCGCTAGACATTTTATAATGTCTTCCTCAATACCACCCGCTGTTGTAACTACTACATCTACCTGCAGCCAAATTAGGTGATGTATAGTAATAGTATTACAATGCACTTTATAAAATGAATAATTTTACTAAGAGGGCATCATCATGCATATGTTGTTGTTTAGATTATCAGGGTAACTGAGAAACATATGTAAATAGTGGGCGGTTCGGGTGACATGAACCCCCCATGTCATTTACGTTGCTATGTTCGAAAATTGATGGTTCCTAACCCTCACTCTGGCCTGAACACACCCCCACACCCCAGTCAATTGCATGCCAAAAGATTTAATTGACTTTTGGGTTAAAATTGAGAATAAATTAGTGGTGAATTTATATGATAAATTGAGAATAAATTAGTGATGAACTTCAAATGTGGAAACATAACAAGTAGCTTTTCTTACACTATGCATCATCATCATCATCACTCACCATGTGATGCTGAACAAGATAACGAATGGTGTCTCGGACCCCAGAAGATATAAGGTTGGAAGTGAACCCCAAGAAAATTTTGCACTTCACCGTGTCCCTATACGCAAGATCTTTCTCCTCCTCGCTGCAATCTTCTGTTAGAGGTTCATGGGAGAGCCTCCAATCAAGCTTCACAAGCATTTCAAAAGAAAAAAACAGTCAAAAAAAATTTAAATCCACTCCGTAATACCCAAGTAACCAAACAAACATACCATTTCATTGACGATTTGAATGGCTTCGCCGAGATTGGAAGCTTGAAAGCCGGTGGAAAACAGAGACGCGAGTAGCTTAGGGTAATCAACGCCGCGATTGAAGTCGTATCCCTCGATTTTCGTGCAGGCGCCGTCGAGGCTCTCTGATTTCTTGAACACCACATCTCGTGCTGAATCCATGCTTCTCTCTAAACAACTCTTTAATGCAGGTACTCGTATGACTCTTCCTGAGAAAAAAGAGATATACTCCGTACTTTAGAGTACCCCAAACAATTGTAAAAAATTTTTAAAATTAGGGTATAAAACTAAGAAAAAATTAAAAATTCATATTTATCGGATTAAAACATACTAACTTTTAAAATATAAAATCATATGTTTTTATTTTCTAATATTGGATTATTGGTCATTATCTTTTAGTCATTATTAAATTAAATATTTAGTACTATTTAGATACTATATTATTTTTCTCACTAGACATTATTAAATCCTTCTCCGTATTTAAGACTTATTCGTTGCAAATTTTACACAATGAATTCATTGTTTGAAACTGAAAGTTAAAAAATCTTAGACCACTTTTTTAGGGGCATTACACATGTTCCATCGTCTTCCCCGGTAGAGACATTGCTCTCGGGTTTTGATTCTTTCGATCTCCTCATCATCTTCGAAAATGTCTTAAGAGTTTGAAGATTCAAATTATTGCTAGTTTTCATTAATTATTCAAAATCTTGATTACTCATTGCATCATGTATGTGTTGCTCCGAAACGGGCGTGAGTTGAAAAGAGCTTTTCATACGTTTGAACCTCTACAGTTTACAGTCACATATCAACAAACATTCTACCTGATATTTTAATACATTTTTTGTATTAGATAAAAGATTAATAAAATATACTTATATAATAAGGGAGGTTTATTCAATCAGAATTCTGATGGATTGTTTTGGATTCAGAATATTTGTAGGTATTCAATTTAGATTTTCAAAAATTATTTAAAATCTGAATGTATTTAATTCAGATTTTAAAAAATCTTTCTAAATCTAATGGTATTCAAAATTTTGTAGATTCTTAAAGATTGTAAAAATGTGGATTTTGAAGGATTTTTATTTGTTGGATATAAATACAAATCCACCCTTAAAAGCTCACGAGAAAAGTAAAGATTTTGACAACTCTATGGATCCTCTCCTCTGGTCGCCAATCTTCTTCATCTTCTTCCAGTCGATCGTCTACTCCTGTCGCCATCTCTTCTTCATCTTCTTCCAGTCGGGCGTCTTCTTCATATTCTTCCAATCAATCATCTCCCCTAGTTGCCATCCCTTCCAGATTCGTTCATACTCTTGCTGAATTGAAGGTGGATTATTGAGAAATTATGAGTGATCAAGTAAGCCCCTTTTGATTCTGAAATCGGAGTCCCGATTATAGTTAATTAAAGTAACGAATTGAGGCAAAAGGGAAGTTTGTTGCATAGCTCTCTGAGATGGTTCAGATTCCTGCTTGTTCTTTATCAATTTTGTTCATAAACTCTTGGTATTTTGAAAATATCTCATGGCTAGCATTGGATTTCTGATTTGATAATTTTATGATGAAGTCTTTCAATTCTTGGTAATTATTCATCTTCTTTAACCTGGGTTCGTGGCTATGTGTCACTGGCATGTTGCTCTTCCTTTTGGTGGTTTGTTTTTGTTATTGGTGAATGTTTTGTGTTCTTTTGGCATGATAATGGGTTGGAATGGCTGAGACAATATGGGTATGGCCAAGCACCAACAATTCACCTTTCACCTAGGATTGGTTCTTGATTTTACCCACACTTTTTTCGATTAAGCTGTTGGCTTGTGAACTTGGAATTGTTGTTTTGAGGACATGAGAGAGTTGGTGGAATTTTGGGGTCAAAGAAGGAAGATGAAGGACACTGGAGCCCTAGGAAGAAGAAGGGGCAAAGAAGGAAGATGAAGGACGACCTTGAACAACTCTTGCTAGAAGGAAGATGAAGGACAAGTTGGAGCTGATCTACTGATGGAGGTTTCCAACATGTACAATGTATAGATTTTAAAAATAATTCATTTTTATGTGTAAATAATTCATGAATGATAAACAATCAAATAGAATCATATGAAATCCTATTGATAAAACCTATATAGATTTAAAATAATCTATGGATTTTACTGAATCTACGGATTCTAAATAATTTAAAAAAATCCATTAGAATCCTAATTGAATACACCCCCTAAATCTAAATTTCCAATATTGGTAATATAATACTCCCTCTGTCTACAAATAAACTTTACGTTTACTATTCACAGGGTCAAACTTTATTCACATTGTTGGCCTATTTTCATCACCCATTTGAAAAAATAATATAGTCATGTCACCTCTAGTTTTATAGATCTTTTGATATAGTTTTTAATATGTAATTTTTATTTTTCCATTCTACACCACTTTTCATATAAAATGATTTGAAAATAACTTCGGTCAAACATCGTAACGCGTAATGAGAAGTTTATTTGTAGACGGAAGGAGTATAATTTTTTAAGATTAATTTATTAATATATGACAAATTTATAATACTCCCCCGTTCCGAAATATTTGCAACGTTTGCTTTTTTGGTGTTGCGGGAACTTTTATTTATTTGATAAAATAAAATATTTTTGACACTTCTTATTTCGAAGAACTTTTCATATAGTTTTTTGATATGTAAATTTAATTTTTATTTCTATATCAATATATAAATAAAATGAATTTAAAAAATTTAATATTTTGACTAGGCCGCAAAATATTTAGGGAATGAGAACAGCCTACTAGAAACAAAAAGTTTCCGATGGACAGCCTACTTCTGAACACAGACCCAATCCCGTTCCCGCAGCTAATGCCGATGCTGGTAAAAGCCATGGACGACCTTCCTCGCCCTTTACTTCTCGAGATCTTGAGTCGACTCGGCGACCAGGCCGACCTGGCTCGCTGCCGAGTCGCCTCCAAAACTCTCAACGCCATCTCCCGCGACCTCGAATCCCTCAGCTTCATCTGCACCTACGACCGGTACACCAAGTCCCTCTCGCCTCCAGCCTGTTCATCGATCACGCCGTTCAAGCAGATCTTCCTGAAGCTCGTTTCGGATTTACGGATCGTCAAATCTGTATTGATCGGCATCGATATCTCACCGCTCTCAACCGCCTCGCTTGAAGATGTTGGAGACAAGGACGATTTGTACCTGACGGATGTGAATTTCGTGGAGAAGTGGCTGCCGAGGTTGAGTGAGTGCCTGAAATCTGTTTCCATTTCGGATTTCTGGCTTCAGTCCAGCAGGCGGAGATCCTCAGTGCTCGACCTCATCTCTTCTCTCTGTGAGTGCTTACTTAATGTATATGTGCTTTTTTTTCTCCCCGTGATAATGATGATGAATTAGCACAATTCATGAGCATGAGTTCTGCGCTCTCTATAATTATATCCTTTATGTATGCGTGTATTACTTCGTTGGAGTTCTGTGTGAGATTTCTTCAATTGACACCTCCAACTTTCAAAAATGAAGGACTAGTTTATATTATGGGGTTAGAAGCTCTTAGTCTAGTTTCACCATAAATTAAAGAGTAAATTTCATAACTGATTTTCTATATTTAGTCATCAATTCTAAGATATTGCATAAATGATTTTAAATTTTTGAAAATTACTCCACAAATAGTCCTTTTGGCCAAATATGCCAAGATAGTTTTTCCAAATATAGTCCCTAACACTATGTTTGGTTCAAGGAATTTGGCTCAAATTTCATGTTTGGAAAACTTTAAAATTTTAAATTTGGATTTGAGTCAAATTCTTCTCATTCTTCTTAGTACATTTTACCTTCTCATTTCCTTTTCCTTCCACTTTTTTTCTTTTCCTCTTTAACCAAGCAAGAAAAATGTTTTCCTTCTCATTTTCTTTTCCTTTCCCTCTCAAATTCTTTGAACCAAACATAATGTAAAGGATCAATTATGGAATTATTTTCAAAATTTGAGGACCATTTACGCAATAACTTAGAAGTGAGAACTAAGTATAGAAAATCAACTATAACTAGGGACCATGTATAAAATTTATTCTAAATTAAATTAATTATTTTCTTGTATGTGGAAACATAAAGATCAACACACATATGGACATTGCTTGTACTCGTTGCCTTATGGCAAACCATTAGGACTTTCGAACATAAATCAAATAATTCTTGAATGGTCATCTACTAAATTTCTTATTTTTTAATTAATTAATTTAATCATGTGGGTTGGCTCAAATGAATTCTCTCTTTAATATTAGTTGTCTCGACTTTTTGTGCCACGTGCTTTTTGTGAGCTTGTGATGTTTGTGTTACTTGAGCCGAGAGTTTCTTGGAAACATCCTCTTTACTTTCAGGTAGGGGTAGGGTTGCGTACACACAGTCACACACCCTCCTCAGACCCTAGGCTTGTGGGATTCAACTACGTTGTTGTTGTAGGCTCAAATGAATCCTACAGACCATGTGATTGTGATAGAAGTACTCATTGCTAATTGCATCTATTAATGGGTTTGGTTCTTGACCTTTTCTCCCCATGATATGTGTAGGACCTCAAACTAATGGCTTCTATTTATAGGAGTCTCTAGCCAAAGATTTAATAATTTAATAATTTAAGAATGGGATATTGTGATCTTTAAAGTTTATGGTATTTCTAAAATCTCATTTGGGTAGAATCACGGGGGGATGGGTTTCCAAACTATCACTTTGGAAACCAAAACTGCCAATCTCATTTTGGCCATTGTACAAATGAAAAAGACAAAGTGTGGTTATGATTCTAAAATTAGCGAACCCTACCAATTTGAACCAAATACACCCATAGGGAAAATCTGATGGCCAACCAAATAGGACTGAGCAATTTAACCGAACCGACCGATTAACCGATACACTTTAACCGAACCAACCGCAATTTTAAATTCGGTTTCGGTTTTCGGTTTTGATCTCAAAATAATTCGGTTAATTCGGTTATCGGTTTCGGTTTTGAACGATGTTAACCGAAACCGACCGAATAACCGAGCCCACAATATGTTTATTAAAATATATTATATATGTAAGCCCAGCCCTTCTTCTCAGTTAAAAAACCCAATTCCCAGCCCTTCTTCTCAGTTCTCCTACCCAATTCCCAAGTCCCAACCCGTCTCCCCCAACCGTCGTTCTCGTCTTCTAGGGTTCGCGACTTCTCGGTCCTCACCATTCACGCACGCCAAGAGCTCGCAATCACCATCTTCGTTCCGGCGTCGGCGTCACCAATCGGCAGCAGGTTTGTGCATCTCTGTTCTGGCGTCACCAATTCTGTTTTTTTATTCTTTTCGTTCTGATTTTTTTCTTTTGATTGCCAAATAAAGATAGTTCTTTACTTTTTTAGCACATTAAATCAATGCCACATACAGCAATTACACGGAGTATATTTTCTTTGCTTTATTTATTAAAGGTTTAAATGTTTAATGTAATAGCTTGTTGCGGCATCAGTTTTGTTTAACTAACTTTTTTTTGTTTAACTAATTTTTTGTTTTTTCATTATTCATGATTAGATCAAAATTCAAGAGCAAAGTCAATGGAGTCAATAGCTTCCCATGATTCACAATGTGAAAAACAAAATGAAGCCCAAAATGCATCAATTACTGAAGAAAGTAGGGTAAAGTCCTCATCTTCTAGACCTAAGAGGAAGGAAAGGAGCGCACCTTCAACAAGATCTGAGGTTTGGGCGCATTTTACTAGATTTACCATTACTAAAGATGATGTTTTACTCCATAAAGCTAGATGTGATCATTGTGGTAGAGAATTTGCTGCAAATACTAAAAGTAATGGTACAAGCTCTTTGAAACCATTTAAAAAATTGTGTGAGCTTTCCTCGTGAGAAAGGGGATGATGATCAAACTGAGTTAATATGCGGAACAGTTGATGGGGAGGGAAATGTGCCAATAACTTTTGGGAAGTATAGCGCAGACGCACTTAGGAAGGGTATAGCAGAAATGATTATCATCGATGAACTTCCATTTAAATTTGTTGAGGGAAAGGGTTTTAGAAAGTGCATATCCATTGCTGCTCCAAGATTTAAAATGCCTTCCCGATGGACAGTTGCTAGAGATTGTTATGGAATTTACTTAGAAGAACAAACTAAAATAAAGAAGTTGTTTCAAGGTGCCCAAGTGTCACTTACCACTGATTGTTGGACGTCTTTGCAAAATGTCAATTATATTTGTCTAACAGCTCACTTTATTGACGAAAATTGGAAATTAAATAAGAGGATAATCAACTTTTGTCCAATTGAGAGTCATAAAGGTGAGAATATTGGTAAAGCAATTGACAAGTGTTTGCGAGATTGGGGTATAGACAAGGTTTTTACAATCACGGTTGACAATGCAAGCTCAAATGACACAGCTGTGGGTTGGTTAAAAAAGAGGTTTATTAGTATGGGAACATCATTGCTTAAAGGAAAATACTTTCACATGAGATGTGTGGCTCATATTGTTAACCTCATTGTTAGTGATGGCATGAAGACAATGAATGACTCCATTTATAAGATAAGAAGTGCTGTTAAATATGTTAGACAATCACCTGCCAGAATGCATAAGTTCAAAGAATGTGTTGCATTTTCAAAGATTGAGTCTAAATCTTTGTTGAGCTTAGACGTGTGTACAAGGTGGAACTCAACATATTTGATGTTACATTCTGCTCAGAAGTTTGAGAAAGCATTTGACGGGTTTGAGGATGTCGAGAGTAATTACATAACTGCTCTCATTGAAGATAAAAGGATTCCTTCTCATGATGATTGGGAAATTGGTAAGAACTTAAGCATATTTTTGGAGCGTTTTTATAATCTCACAAAAAGAGTTTCTGGTTCCTTGTATGTCACATCTAATGTTTATTTGGAAGAAATATGTGATGTGTATTGTACTTTGAATGCTTGGGCAAGGAGCGAAGATGAACAATTTAAAGCTATGTCTTTAAAGATGCTTGATAAATATGACAAGTATTGGGGTGATGTTGAAAAGATGAATATGTTGTTATACATTGCTGCTGTTCTTGATCCTCGATACAAGTTTGATTATGTGGAATTTTGCTTCAAGAAAATGTATTCGCAAGAAGTTGCAAAAGAATTGCTTACAAAGGTCAAAAGTACAATGGACGAATTATTTTTGGAGTACAAAAAAATGGCAGACACTCTTGGAAACACTTCTAGTGCACAAACTACTTTAACCCCACAAAGTAGTTTGAACACTTTAAGTGCTACTGTTGATTCTAACACAATCAGTGAAACCAGTACCAAGAATGAATTTAGGAAATATAAGAGTTCGACTGTTCGTGGAGGGCAAAAATCAGATTTGGACAAGTACATCACCGATGAGTTTGATGAGGATGAAGATAGTTTTGATATTCTAGGATGGTGGAAAAAGAATGGCCACAGGTTTCCAATAATGGCTAATATTGCTCGTGATGTTTTAGCGGTTCCGGTGTCAACTGTTGCTTCTGAATCTGCTTTCAGTACAGGTGGTCGTGTCCTTAACTCGTACAGGAGTTCTTTAACTCCTAAAATTGTCCAAGCTCTTATTTGCTCTCAAGATTGGTTACGACAAGGAGCATATTGTAGCATTCACGAGTTTGAAAGTGAAGTTTCTGAATTGGACAAATTAGATGAAGGTGTGTATAACTACATACGTTGCTATTATATCATTTGAAATGTATTCCATTTTTCAATATTTTTTTAGCATTCATAACTATTTTTTTAAATTGTCTATTTGTTTTGTTCTTTTAGATTTGTCCAAACTCAAGTTGGATCCAGTTATTGATGCTTAGAGATGTGAAGACATTGAGATCTTGATTTTTGGTAATCCGGTAATGTTTTGGTAATCCCGTTATTTTATTAATTATAATTCTCATACTTTTCAATTTCAGTGGATTGTATGTTAAGACTTTTTTTCTTTAGAAGTACAGATTGATGGTGATGGGTGACATCCAGTTCTGATGGAATTGAGCAGCGAAGTCATGGGAGCATTTTCCGTTTATTATTATTTTGAACTTTTTAAAGCTCTACTTGGATTGATATCAGTATTATTGTTGGCTTTTATTATTCATTTTGGGGCTCTACTTTTGTTTGTTTAAATACTGTTTGACCCCTGAGAGATAATATGTTTTTGTCATTTTGGAGCTGTCATTTTGGAGCTGTTATAATATGTGTTTGCTATTACTTTCCTTAAAAAAATTTGAGAAATATTTCAATATTTGCAGTAGGCATTAAGTTGTTTGAATGAAGATTTCGGTTTTTTCAAACCGACCGAACCCGATCGGTTTTTACTCGGTTCGGTTTATTCGGTTCTAGCTTTAATTCGGTTCGGTTCGGTCGTTTTTTTGAGTAATTTTAATTTTCGGTTTTTTCGGTTTTGGGCCGAAACCGACCGAACCGAACCGATGCTCACCCCTACAACCAAATACACCCATAGGGAAAATCTGATGGCAGATGCATTAAACTCTTGCGTGTGAATGGACATGTATAAACATGCTAACATAAGGTTGTGCCTGAACTCTTTGTTATGTATGTGCAGGTTATAATCTGGTCGATTTAGAAATTAAGAAGACGTGGTTGTCGGTGAGTGGCTTGAAACCAATGCCCAACCTCACAAGTTTGACACTTGACTTAGTGAGATTGGATGATGAAGACCTCGACAAAATTTGTGAGTGCTTTCCTGGATTACAAGTTCTTAATCTTAGAGTTGTAGGACAGCTCAAAGATCCTCAAGTTCGTTTCTTGAACCTAAGAAGTTGTAATTGGACTCTAGTATGTGCTCCGAATTCAGTGGCTGTTGTTGCCCCTAAACTTCAGAAACTGAAAATCGATTGCACAAGGCCGAATCTTCTCGTCTTAAATACCCCAGTTTTGGAAGAAATGCACCTGTGTATTCTAGAATCCAACAGGTACATGGTGGGAGAGCTCAAGTTGAAATCCATTTATCTTGAATCCATGGAACTTCACAACCTGATTCAGCGGGCATTTCCTTATGTGAACTCGGTTAGGAGTTTGACATTGTGGGCTACGCATTCAGTCGAACGCACTGGGACATGCGTATGTCTTGGTTCATTGTCTAGAAACTTCCCAAATCTTGAAACTCTAACGCTGTCGCCTAGAGTTTGGTCTGAACTGGAGGGGCATCTCTGCCCAGGATGTTTGGAAGTCAGGACTGACAATAACCTGACAGAGTTGCAACGCATCATCGCGTATCTGGTGTTGAACAATGTCGATACCACATTGTCATTCATCACTGCAGTAGCGGGCAGCTGCCCGGGGCTGAAAGAGATGGCGCTCTTGATCCACCGAGACGTCGTCTCCAGCGTCTCACGCAACGTCATTGCGAAATGCGAAGCTTATTGTCCAAGGATCAGATGGAGATGGGGGATGTGGAAAGAAGGGACCCAAGATGTTTGGATTTCTGACCAATTAAAATCAAGTTGACTCATAGCCACACTCACCTATGGAGAAAGAAGACGGAGAAGCTGGGAAGTGTTCAAAATGTCTTTTATGTTAATTTTGTTTTTTTATCAATGTAGATAATGTTCAATGTTTAGAATTTAGATACAAGCATTTAAGAGGGGTGTATTTAATCTAGAGTCTATAAAATTATTATTTTTTGTATTTTAAAGAGTAAATTCTCAAAATAGTCATTTGTATTCCCAAATCAGTCTTTAATAAGTTTTAAGTATTTATGTGGTCCTCTATAATTGAAATTTATTTCTAAGATGGTTCTTCATAAATAATGTTACTCAAATGAGGATTAATTGAGAATATTTGAGTATTTTTTTATCCGCTAAATTTAGAATTAATTCTTAAAATAATCATTTATAATGAAGTGCTTTCCTAAAATGATTTTTTCTAATTAAAGATGTGTATTTGATTTGAAATATAAAAGATTTTTTATATGTTTTAAATAATTCATAAATTATTTATAGTCAAAGTATTTTTTAAATTTTATATTTAGTTGTATAAAAATGTCTGTTTCGAAAATATACTTTAAATTTGGATGATCAAAATACCAAAATATCTTTCAATTAATTATCATTTGAGTAACATTATTTACGGATGACTATCTTGGGAATAGATCTCAATTACAAAGGATCATGTAGATAATTAAAACTTATTGAGGACTAAATTGAAAAAACATTTTATTACAACATGGTCATGTTCTTCACATTTGATTTTTCTTTGTCAAAATTTGTAAATATTGACTTGAATTTTTGGAAAAATATATTATATTACTCCGTATAATATAACTTTAATGTCAATATATTCCTAAGAAATGTACTTTTGTATTATCAAAATTTTTAAAAATATATCAATGTATTAATACAGATATTAATGGTCAGAGTATAATATTGGTCCCGTTTGGCATCAGCGTCAGAGATTAGCGTTAGCGTTTCGAAAAAGCTATCCGATGGAAGCCTTTAGTGTTAGCATTTCCAAAATTAATCTGCATCGTTAAAATTTTATCCAAAACGCTAACGATAATCGAAAAAGCTGTTACCAAACAAAGCCATTAAAGATTATGAAAATTTAAATGAAAAGAATATTTTTGGAAAAAAATATATTAGCCTATTTAATTAGGGGATATGGATTTTGGGACTTAATAGGCCAATTGAGTGGCCTCTGGTGATGGTATAAAATCCTAGGGATTGGCTCTCAATCTTGTTCCCTCGTCTCTTATACCACCGAAATTTGGATTCGTCTGATCAAACAAATCGGGTTTGTGGTCATGGCAGAGAAAATTGGTGATTCATATCTGAAAAAGTGTTGCAAAGGTGATTCCGCAAAGGTTAAGAGGAAGGTTGTATTACGGGTGGTGCACGGTGCAAAGTGTGAATTCCAGATTTTGGATCTAGATACTGGTGAGTTCGTAAAAACTCCCTATACCCTCATATGGAGTGGTGGAGCAGGTAGCAATCTAATGGTAGGATCAATAATTTACACTGTTGGCAAGCCCCAATATAGAAATTTATGCAGAGATGAATACTCTGAGCTTTACAGCTTCGAAAACGAGATAGTTGAAGTTCACGAGGGCCTATCTTATTTTGATTTGACTAACCCTGAAATGGGTTGGCAAAAAGGGCCTCTTTTCAAGGAGGATGAGTATACTCCAAAATGTGTAGCCCTTTGTGGTAAGCTATATGTGTTTAGAGGTTCTGAATGGTCTTGTTTTGGTGAGGTTTTTGATCCTAAGCTTAATATGTGGGAACCCTTGCCAAAACCACCTCCTTTTTATGGAAGGGTATCAAGTTATGATGTATCGCCTCCGCTTGTAGTTGATCACTTGCGCGGTCGTATCCTCGTGCATTTTCTCCTCTCTACACCCGGCTGTTCAATTTATGCATACTATCCTGCTGATGCTAGTTGGGATTGCCTTGTTGATA